AAATATGAAGCTGATACTGGTACCAAAGTAACCGTATCAAAAAATGTTTACATGTTGCTTGGAAAAAGTCAACCATCGACTATTGTTATTGAAAATAATAGAAAAATGGCAATGCGTTTACGTTTTACGAATATACCAAATTTATCATGGACAGGAGATATACCTCTTCAGCCGAATGCTAAATTGAGTCAACCCTGGCTCGTAAAAGTGCCTTTACAAGAGCGTGGTCAATTTTTTAGTATTTGGGTGCGGATAATAACACAAACCGTTCAAGAAAAAATTAAGATACTTGCCGTATTGAGTCCACTTTATATGATACGATCGCATTTACCAGTACCAGCTAAAGTACAAATGGAAACACCATCGTTAAAAATGTTATCAAGCACAATAGTGAACGGACGTGGCGAACGTCAACAATTGTATTGTCCTGGTACATTCGAGCACTTCCATCAATTAACATTCCAATTAGAATCTGGAATTTGTGCATCTAATCCATACGTACCATTATCGTACAGTTCAGTCGATCAAAGAAAATTTTTTAGAAGACCTGAAATAGAAGATATAGACAATATTTTGAAAGAACTTGAAAGTCAGAAGGATGAAATAGGATGGCCTTTTCAAGCAGACGATACAGCAGACTGGATACCTGCAGAACAACCACAAACTCACGTTCAAGTTAAATATCAAGATGCTGGATTAGTGTCAAGTACTCTTTTATTGGAATTACAACCATGGTGTTTCATATTAAATTCTTTAGGATGCTATATTTCTCTTGTATCCGAAGATATCGAACTTTGTCAAGTTCCTCATTATGGAATTGTAACGCCACCAAAATTAGAAGGCGTTTTCCACTTAGGTGTTGGCATTGGTGATACTTATTATACTTCGCAAGCTCTTCAATTAGCTAGACCTGATTGGAGTCAAAGTTTTTATATGCCTCGTATAGGAGGATTAATTCCTGTTGAAGGCAATATCAAGTCTATTGTTGATTGCGTATCTAGCGTGACTATAATTAGTATTACTTCTAGCATGCACGAAGATATGCGTTTAGTGAGAGTAACAAGTAGTCACGTTATTGGAAATTTAACAAATCAAGAATTATGCATTGCTACACTTGCAGTTGATGAATTATCGAAAGATTTAAAGTTACCTCACGATCTTACTCCTTACAGTCAAAATATTCTACCATCTGAAGATCAACATCAAGCTACACCTATTGTTCAATGGCATATGTTGTACGAAAACAGTAACATCGAATCTCTTGTCTTATATATTTCTCTGAGCTTAGGACACAGGTGGTCCTGTCCAATTAAAATAGATCAAACCATGAGCCGTAAGTGTGTTGCTATTCCAAATGGCTCCTCTACTATGTCAGTAGTATTAACTATTCAAGAAGACAAAGGTACATCATATATTATGGTGCATATTGATAACCATCCTCAATTATTGCTAGAAAATATATGTCCCTATAAACTTTTATTGGGACAGGCTAATGAGAATCTAGATGGAATTGTACTAGATGCACTACATTTTGCATGGATTTGTGAAGTGGAAACTGGTGCTTCGTGTCATTATTCTCTTCCATGCGTTGGTAACAGATTACCTGATACTCCTGTACCAACTACATCTAATATATTGTTATTATCTGCATTACCTAATACATACAACAATGAAGCAATACAACGAAAGGAATTACAATGGTCACGCGGCATTAGTCTGTCTGCATTGACAAATATACCTATGGATCATTACGTACGATTACCTTCTTATGGAGATGTTAAATTAATAATGCACAATCGTTGCTATACTACACATATTAGCGTCGTTCCTATTTCACAAATAGAGGTGTCTGCTAGAGATATCAGAAATCGATTAATGCGTAAGGAACATAAATTAAAAGAAGTGGAAATAATTCCGAGAAATTTTAAAACGCTAATAGAAGATAATCAAGACTTTCTTAACATACAATATTCTAGTAGCTCAACATCAGCAACTAGTTTTTTCTCAGCACAAGAAGATGTTCCTGCAATAAATTCTTCTATCTCATCGCAAACAAATTTAAAATTATTAATTCCTCATGAAAGTAGCAATAAAAATAATGATGAATATCAAGTTAAAACAATAAACGAATCAAATGCAACAGTAAATAACAGAGAAGGTTCCGCAACTATTTATTTTCATGGAATTACTATTATTATATTGAAAGATATTAATGAGATTGGCCAAAGGACTGAAGTAGCAAGTTTATCTATGACAGATTTAATTGTTACTTTGCACGCGAAACCTACTCTTGTGAATTTTTGTGTATGTATAGGAGATTTACAATTAGATAATCAAGTATTTGATCAAGGAGGTTTTGATTTTCCTGTAGTATTAATCAGTCAGAGTCCACTTACAACAAGAGAAACATTTTATCCATCTAATTGTTTAATAAGTAATATGGAACAAATTAAAGAAGATTCTTTGGTAACTGCCGATTACATTTGGGAAAAAAATGGGCAAATAATAGGTATGAATAATTCCTTTTTTTTAATTGTGTTATAATTTATGTATATATACTAATAGCTTTAATCAAAATTATTTCTTTTAGTGTCAAAGGAGTTACACTTGAAAATTGCACCTATTAGCGCTTATATTGAAGATACATATATTAGTCATTTATTAGATTATGCAAATTCTATGATACCACCACGATTTAATGCTTCAACTAGCATGTTAAAAAAGACTCAGCCAGCATTGACATCAACAACTATTTATGTATCAGATTATATTATGGTTGATGCCAAAATATTGAGCGTGCCATTAAGATTACAAAATTTCACAATAGATCCAGTATCAATTTTACTCAGTGTACATACATCTGTACGTTTATATGTGGCATTGGATCATTCCCCTTTATATTTTAGTACTTTTGAAAGGAAAAATATTTTAACTACAACTTACAGGCTAGGAAATGCACTTACTATGCATTATTTATCTGGAGCTATATTTGGCGCTGGTAAATTACTTTATATATTATTATACTTATACTTATTATATTACTTAAATATGGATATTTAACAAAATATATATTTTAGGTTGGGTGGTTGGATCCTTAGAAATACTTGGATCACCAGGAGGTTTAGCGCAAGCACTTGGTTCAGGTCTTAGAGATTTTGTTTCTCTTCCATTTCAAGGCTTGTTACAAGGACCTTGGGGTTTTATTGTTGGCATAACACATGGATCTGCTAGCTTAATGAAACATATCACAGCAGGTGAATAGCTTAATTTATATATATACAAGGTGTTACCAAAAATTGTTACCATGCTTTGAAAGCTTGAAGCACTTAAAGCACTTTAAAACATCGAAAGCAAATTCTACATTATTTAATGAACATTCTATAAACAATCAAAGTGTGGTAAAATGTTTTTGCGACACCCTTTATATACACATACTAAAATATTTTAATTTTAATTTAATTATATTTGTTTATGTTCTTATAGGTACTGTTAATTCAGTGACAAAATTAGCGTCTAGCGTTGCTCGAAATTTAGATAGATTAACACTAGACGAAGAACATCTTCAACGTCAGGAAGAAGCCAGAAGGATGCGCCCACAGGGTATGGCACAAGGACTTTATCAAGGATTAACTGGATTCGGTATGAGTATCCTTGGTATGTATGTCTTTTTAAATAATTTTACTTTTTTAATCTTATTTATATTTATATATTTATATATTCTATCGTATATATTTTTGTAGCTGCTGTTGCTGGATTGGCACATCATCCTTTACAACAGGTGTGGTCAGGTGAAGCAACAACTAAAAGTTTAGTTACAGGAGTTGGACTTGGATTAGTTGGTGTAGTAACAAAACCTCTTAGCGGAGCTGCTGAATTAGTTGCTCTTACGGGACAAGGCTTATTACAAGGCGCAGGGTGGAATTCTTTGCCTTTGGTATATTATTCTTTGCAAAATGTGAATTATTTTATATAACATTTATTTTTAACATTAAATTTATATTTGTTTTCTTTAGCCTCGACAGCATCCAATCGTTCAATATAGTACTGGTAATAATAATGCATCAATTCGATATGCATGGCGTTTACTACCATTACTAGAAAATACCCGTGACAATATTCTGCATGTAGCTAATGCAGATTACGTTTTACAACAAGGAAGTAATCGTGCTGTAACTTTAGTTCTCACACGGCAAGCATTGTTACTTGTTAATATAGCTGAAGATAGCGTGGAAAAGATATTGCCTCTAAAAGAATTAACCAGTATTGATCATTCTTCAGAATCAACGATGCTTTGTTTATATTGTCCTCCAGCAACAACGCAGACTAGTAGAGCCTTATCACCCACTGAACATGAAGTATGACGATAATTATCAATTGTAATTGTCCTTATAATATAAATGTATATGTAAATTTTTCTTTTTTTCAGATGGACCAAGAAATGAGGGCAAGAGTTGCAGAGTATGTACGTACGAGCAGTACTGGTTTAGCTAGTTTATCTACAAATAGTGATGAACAATCTGATATTCTAGAAACATCTACAACAAATTCAGAACATACACTTACCTTTTATGTCTGTCCAGAAACACGTAATTATTTATTATCTCTTTTTAATATCGCCAAACGACAAAGTCAAGGTAGCGGATTTACTGTGTTATAAATGATTGAAAATTAAAATGATAAAAGTAATTTTAAATAAAAATGTTATCATTCGTGAAAATTTAATATTGAGAGGTTTTTTATTAAAAATATAAAAGTTTATATCAATACAATGGATATCTTTTTGAATTATTGCCAAACAATTTATATAATATATTTTGCAATATGTAACATATAATTCGTAGTAAATCTTTTGTATAAAATATAAATGCACAATTCCTTTTTTTAAATTACTTATTTGTTTAAACAAAGTATTGTGATGGATATATTTATGAATATATACAAATGTAAATGTATGGCAAAAACATAAATGTATAAAATTATGTGGTAACAATATTATATAATATCACATAATTTATTAAAATATTTATTATACATTTTGTATATTTTATACAATGTACAGCAATTAGATTTAATTTCAAAATTAATAAAAATTCAATAAATACATCTGACAATAATTTTTAATGATTATAAGCATCACATAATAATTTACAATATTTAAAACATTTTTTTCTAATTATGTATGCGTTCAACAGCACTTCTTTGATAAACTAAATCACATAATTGACACTGATTATTTTTATTTGTGGTTAGCATTCTTCTACATACCACATGATTACATGGCAATTTATATAATATACTATTTATACAACAATTGCAGGTATTTAAAATTGAAGTATTAAGTTGAAGACTTTTTGGTGTACTAAAACGTTTAAGACAAGATAATTCAAGTTGAACATCAGCATCAATATCGCTATCTATATTATTTTGGTGAATTTGTTTATCGCTAATTATTTCTATATCATTATTACAGTTTTTAAAAGAATCAATATTGGATGTTTTGAATCTTTTAGCGTAAGGAACAGTCTTTGAGTTAATTGGAGTCATAGGCAATCTATGACATTGGCTTTTTAGTTTCATTGTATTACTTATTTGTAGATTATTAGTATTTATTTTGGTTGAATTGTTTATCAGTGAATTAGCTTCTCTTGAATTTCTATTCACTTGGCATGCAACAAGATATTGATTGGAGGTATTATGATTAGCCCATTTACCACCTAATACTCGTGGTAATCTTTTAATTTCATTCATAGTTGAATTTTCAAGTAGGAATTTGTCTATTCTTATTTTTAATGCAGTTGCCATAATAGGTCTACGATTTTCATTAAATGGAAGCCCAGTAAAAGGATCTGATAGAGATCTACCCCACGAAGCTTCACTTTTCCCATGTTTTTCTAATGTAATTTGATCGATAGTCTTACCACTGGGTAACAGAATTGGTTGGGTCATAATTTCATATGTAATTGCATCTAAAAAACTATCCGGTACTTCCAGTGAAGTTTCCGTATTGTTCCTGTTAGAAATATTTAATGATTAAATATTCTTTTACCATTTATCCTAAAAACTATGTAAATTAAAATATACATACGTATTCTGCATATCAACATCCTTGATATCAACATCCTTGATATCAACATCCTTGGTATTAGTAGCAGAAATACTAGATTGGTGATTTATTGTAGGTAGGCATACGGATGTTTGAGACGCTGACCATAAAGCTTTTACATTTGCTATAATATCTCTGCTAGTATTCTGCGATACAGATCCCCATACTTCAATTTTACCCAGTGCTGGCACTGAATTTTGTGTCCTAAATATAGATACTTTTAAACTTTTAGTTTGAGATATTATATATCGTGCTGATCCTTTCATGTAACGTTTCAAGAAGTTAGGTGCTACTGAAATATTGGCAGGATTTACATTAGCTGCGTAAAACAACACTCCGTTATCATTTGCACTTAAACATCCACTCGATAATAAAGTATATGGCATAGAATCATTATCTGTCTTTGCATAAATTTGAAAACCAGATGATTTCTGGGAACCAACTGATGGCCATATACAAATATGATGAATCTGTATATTGCAAGGAAATGTAAAAACAATTTGAACTGGTGGTTTGATACAAGAATAGGCTAGGAAGCCTTTACAAGGATCTTGTATAAGATTAGTCACTTCATATCCTTCTGTACTAATAGTATCACATGTAACTTTAGGTTGCAAGCAAGGTGCACAAAAATTCATAAATGCATCCTTTTTATTTTTTAATACAGCTTGCAACATGATCTTTTAAAAATTTTATTATTTTTAAATATAAACACTATTATTACATATGTAAACACTGTACTCTTCTTTCAATCCATTTATTTTTTTTATTATAATACAATAAAGTTCGATAAACGTGGTACATATAATATTTCAAAATACATAAACACATCTACCTCATCTAATTATTTAAGCATACTACCATATTGTAACAGTTTATTTTCAACCAATCAAATTGTTGGTTTTGAGCGACATTTTTAATGCACCATTATCTCGACCAATTAGCAAAAAGTATAAGTCTAGTGGTGGGAGGTAACATGTTTTCTCTCGTTTCTATTGGAAGAAAAGATTGGTGTCATATAAACTACATCAATTAATTATCCAATAGTAATCGCAGATTGAAGCGAGAGTCAGTATTTCATGATTGGTTAATTTATTTTTTTTATATTGAACGGTGAATTATAGTAAACGATTAATAAAAAATACATTTGATTTTATAATTTTTATTTTTATTAATAGTGAAAATTTAATATTCATGTTATATTAATAATATTGTGTTGTATTTTAAGTAAATATAGATTATAGGTTATGGAGACTTTTTATTTAACTCTGGTAAAATAATTTGTTTCTGGAATTCCAGGGACGATAACCTATATTGTAATATGACGTTCGTTTGTAAAGTACGTGGTTGTTTATCAAGTCAAAATACGAAGATTGATGGTCGTGAAATAACATTATTTGCTTTTCCTGAAGATGACACGTATGTAACTTCCTTATTTTTTAACCCTTTTGTTATAATGAAACAATTATATTATTTATTGTAACAGACTAATTATATTTTTATCTTGTATAAATTACAAAAATGAGAATTTTGTAACTGTTAACAATTATTTATTTTAATGCTTCTAGGAGACGTCAGGAATGGATTAAAAATTGTAAATTAGTTCTCGATTCCAGTGATGAAAGTGACCCTTTATACGTTTGTGAATTACATTTTGAAAAATGTTATTTTACTGCATCAAATGAATTGAAAACAAATGCAGTACCAACTATATTTCATAACAGCGAAGGTATTATTTTCTTATTTTATTTTGGTTATTAGTAATTAAATCTGAACAAATTGATCATCTTTTAGATTTGCAAAGAAAACGAAAGGCTGAAAATAATATAGAAATGGAATCTTTAATGGTTCAACCACCATCAAAGCAAAAACATTTAGATGAAGATTCGCATAGCTTGGTAACACCACCACAAAGCCCATTTACACAATTGGGAGATAATGTAAGTAAAGTTTAATCAGGAATTTAATCCTAAATAATATCTGATTGTTTAAATATTCTTTTTAATTTTTATTTTTTATATGTTTAACAGATTGAGGAATCGGGTTTAGAAAATAAGACAAATGTGCTTAAAGAACCAGTAAATAAAGTTGACATAACTACATCAGACAATGGGCATAAAGTATATCGTTTAACAATACAAATAGAAAAAATACATACGGAGGCAGATTCAGACAATAAGGATCCAGTAATCATACCTAGTCGAGAATTAGAAAATTCTCCAATTTCCAATAACAGTATGTTAATATTTAAAAATGAACAAGAAATGGATGATGAATCGCAGGCAGAGAAAATGGTAAATAATAGTAAAGTGAAAAAACCGCAATGCATCAAAGGAGCATGCAAATTAAAAAAGATTATGTATGGGACTAAACCAGCATTTCAATGCGATGAGTGTAATAAATATTATGTCATGAAGAAAAGCAACGCACAGATAGAGAAAACCAATGTTTGTTCTGTATGCCAGATGTCTTTTACTTCTCCGCAATCACTTTATCTCCATGTTAAAAAACATTTTGTTTGTGATATGTGTCTGACTGAATGTAGTTCACGATTATCGTTTGATAAACATGCTAAGTCACATGTAAGCACTGATCCTTTGTTTCCTTATAAATGTCATAGATGTTTTGAGATATTTGATACCAAAGACGAAATAAGGAATCATTACGTTCTTATGCATCCTTCGATAAAATTCGAAGGTATTGGTAAAGCAAAAGTCTCACCTGTAACAGTGCAAATACCTCAACAAGAATATCTATGTCCTACCTGTAACATTACTTTTAGAAATGAACAGGCATATAGGTAAATATTCATAGACTTCGATTTTAAATAATTTGTCAATCTAATTTATATGTGTTCATTGTGTCATATTAAAAGTTAATTGTGTTAATTCGTTATTCCACAGAAATCATATTAATTGTCATACACAAAAAGAAGGAATACGTTGCAACATTGCAGAGCCAAGTAGTATAATCTCTGTACCGACACCGATAACTGGTGGTCAGATAGGAATTTTGCGAGCTGTAACATTCAGTTGTAGAGTGTGTTCGAAAGAATTTGATAATGTTGCTGAAGTCGATCAACACACGAGAACACATTTGGAAAATGCGGAAGAATACAAGTGCAATATCTGTAAGAAAATATTTAAAACCAGTGCGCAGTTAAATGAACACTTGAAGCATCATCTATCGCGTGCACATCCTTGTCCCATATGTCCTAAAGCATTTATCAATAGAACAACTTTAAAAATACACTTAAAAACACATGGTGATTCATAATTTACATAGACTATGAGTGTTATTTTTTCTTTTTTCCCAGTACTAAAAATAAATGAACTCTATTTCTTCAAATAAACTAATGTAAACTAGTGCAAATTGAAGATAAAAATGGTTAAATTTTAAAGGTGTCTGTACAGTAATATCATAACTGTATATTTTACTTTACTCATATAAGTGATTAAAGTATTGTGTAAAAAGTTTTTGAATAGTTGAATCTATTTTATATAGATATGCGATAGACGATGTGTAAATATTAAATTATACGTAATAGATTCAACGGATATTGTAAGTTTTATTTGCATGTTTAATCAAAATTTCAAATAATTTAATGAAACGTTTTTATTCTTTTTAGAAATAAGTCGATTAAATTGATAAATCATTAAAAATACTTTATTGTTTTTAACTATGCAATGAAATAATATTTATTTGCCATATTGGCATATGTAAATATATTTCATGAACACGGTGGAATTTTGTAAAATTATGAGAATATAATTCAATATAGAATTAATATAATACAGAATCGTAATCACAAGAATACGAAAGATTCTTGAAAAATTGAATTACTCAAAGAATGTTTAATGTATTCGAGGGCCATTTAATCGTACACATATTACATTTTTTTCTATCAGAAGAAAATATATAAAATTTAGACTCGTCGATAAAAATAACATGTTTCCAAAATTCCAAATCTTTTTTTTTTTTTTGAATATTTCTTAGCAAATTCGATTCGTTTTGGATATTTATATACAGTTTCTGTCGAGTTATTCGTTCGTAGAAATCGTTAGATTTAAATATTCTTCTAATAGTAGACTCTCTTCTATCCCTAAATATTTTTTCACTTAAACGATTAATCTTGGTAAACTAATTCTTGGATTATCTTTAACAATTCTAGTAATTCAACACTCGTCTCGCGTATTCAGCTTCTTATTTGACCTGTTCGATACACGATTAGATTTCCTGTATCTCTTAATTATATATTGCAACGTATTTTTACTTCTATTAATTATTTAAATAATTTCTCCATAATTAAAAATATTGTACCGATAGTTTTCAAGCAAATATATAGTTAATGCAATAGTTAGTACAATTTTATATAGGACTTGCTGTATATACATATATTATATACAGGGTATCCTGTAACTAATGACAAGGGGGTATTAGGGTTTTACATGAAAACCAAAGTCGAATATATAGAATAAAATTTGTCGTGTACGCGTGACATTTGGATTCAATTTTAGTTCGATAGATTTTGTTATCTTACTTAGGAATATATTTCGGAGAGCATTTTAATATTAATAATATATATTTTCTATCGGGACTCTATTCTTACATTCGTCGAACTAAGTTTATAGTTTTGAGGGATTGTAAGTTCAGTCCGAGTGCACAGCACATTGTACGAACTAATTTTATTTTACATTTACGATTTAGATTTTCACGTAGAATCATCATTCCCTGTTAGTTTAAACTACTAATTAACCACTTGCGGTGGATAGACGTGCCAGGCACGTCGAGATGCTTCTGTTACCGGAACGCTAGTGACGTGTGTAACACGTCGTGCATGGCACGCGTCGGTGAATTTGTTTTGCCACCGCAAGTGGTTAATTACAAGACACCCTGTATATTTACTTATATATTAAAGATATGTAGTAGATTTGTTCTTTTTTTTTTTCTATTACAGAGATATTTTTGTCAGGTGTTGAGAAAAGTAAAAAAGTAAGAGTGCTTGGATGATATCTTAGCAAAGGACGAACATTCGAGTGAACAACAATAATGTTTCAAACAGCGGTTACCTTTGTGGTCATCTCACTCCTTGACTTGGCTTCCTTTACGAATATACTAAGAAGAAGAATAATAATACTAGGAATGATACTACTCTACTAGGAAGAATAATACTGATTTTACCAAAAGGAAGACGTGTTAGAGTAACAGAGCGGAGAAACCAGAGCAAAGGAGAAAAAAGAAGGCCGACGAAAGAGATCACAAGGTGAACAATCGTTCAGCACCTTTTCTGTTATAATAGTGGAACACCACTTCAAACGCGGAGCCGATCTCAATGTGTTTGTTTGCTCAACTTCAAATTTACTTGTTATAAATGACGAGGGATCTCGAATCGATCTGTCCGTACTACATATTTTTTTTTTTACAGAAAACTATATTTTTGAAGAAAGTTTGGAAACGTTTTTGTTCCATTTTACAGAACAAATTTGTAATACTATAAGAACAAATATTTAATAGTAATACTCAATAGTAGTATATTTTTAGTAATATATGCTATTACATATACTACTATATACTTTAATAATATTAATCAAATTATTTTATTGAAATTATATGAATTTCATATAATTGCCATATTATCGTATTATTTTATTGATATACTAAAATCACATTCCTTTTATAATTGTTTTATATTAAAATTAATGTGTAAAATTAGATCGTAATTTAATCTGATTTGGATTCAAGCCATTCGTTTAGTGTTAAATAAATTTATCAATTTTATTTGTTCACATTCGTTTAAAAATATAATCTTAAGGATACCATATATTTTTTTTCGGACTTCTTGCTTTTAACAAATGCATTAATTCACGCTTAGTTATTTACTTTCGTGTAGTCGTAGTACATCTCATCGCGTTTCGAATCCAGGAGAAATACAAATTTCTATAAATTTGTTACGCTTGTCTATATCCTCTTAACACACATCTACCTAGGGTTACCTATTAGGGGGTACTTTTAAATTTCTTTTTTATAGCTTTTAATGTAGTTAACATTAAACAGTAAATAGTACCGCAACGAATTATTCGATTTTCTGTGTGAAAAATTTAAAAAAAAAAAAAAGTTACTTTCTTTCATAAGGCTTTTGTACCATTTCATTTTCACTTAGGTCATTAACATGAAAATCTTTGTAAATTTTATCCTCGAAATATTAATTTATTTAATGTAATTTTACGTTTATATTATATGTTGTATAATATGTTAATACCGTTTTAAATTGATCGTTGGTGAATTGTTGCAATTTTTGAATGAGAAATGTTTCGTGCGTATTCCAACGCTATTGAGCAATTTTTCGGTCATTCCGTTTCGGTATTTCTTCTTTTAAAGGAAGCCGATTTGTGTAAAGATGGCAAAGGTGTCGAAAACCTCCTGCTGTGAAATTTGTAGAGCATTTTTCTTGGCGGTTATGTCCAAGGGTTAGCCATTCGCGAGAACAACTATGGGAGGAGTTGCGAATGAATGATATTTCTTTTTTTTTTTTTTCTTTTTACAAGGGATATACGATGTATGAACTTTCGAAAGATAAACTAGCATGAAGAGAATTCATACAAATCGCGGAATAAAAAAAATAAAATAAAAATTAAAAGAGAGAACAACAACGTGAACAACGAGACTTTCTCAACAATAAAAAACGCGAAGGTTTCGGATACGAATTTATGAAATGGAATTGGTAAAAATGGATATCTATAGTTATAATTTTTTAATTCTTTTTTTTTTTTTTTTAAGAATTACGTAGGGAAAAAATAGCTGAGTAGTGGAGATTCGAAAAGTGGAAGAAAAAACAGTAAAAAGAATGGAGAGAGGAGAGAAGTGACTCTATTCGTCCTCGGCACGGGCCATCTGGACGAAAGTTCTTTTATATTTTATAGTATTTATCTCTCTCTCTCTCTCTCTCTCTCTTTCTCTTTTTCTTCCTTTCATTTTCACTCGTGTCTTCCGTTCAAGGATAAATTCACTCACGTGGAAGTTGAGAATCTTTTGATTAATGGCCGACGAGATAAAACCGCAGAATGATTTTTCGTTTGTTGCTTGCTTGCTTGCTTTTTTCTTTTTTTTTTTTTTTCTTTTTCACGAATACGAACTACTCCTCGATCATTTTCTTTTCTTACCGTAACATTTTCAAAAAAAGGTTATACGCTTCGTACTCACACGCACACACACACACGCGTGGTTTGTGTTTTGAAAAAAGGTTTATCAAATTTATAACAAAATTCGAAATTAAATTAATAAAAAAAAAACAAAAACAAAAAGGAAAAGAAACTTCAAGTAGTAATATTTTTTGAACACTGTATACGCAATCTCTATCCCTTTCCCTATATTTCCAAGTGTTCCATTCGACTGAATAACAAAGACAACTTGTCACCATGGTAAAGAAAAAAAAAGAGAGAGAGAGAGAGAAAAAAGAAAAGATGAAATATTTCATCGGCGGGTTTCAGCAATGAATCTAACAGGTTTAGTCGAGTGGAAGAGGCATAATCAAATTTAGGGTCGCCATGCAAGGGGCGGCGACTTTGCGGTTGTGCACATTTTCTCTTTCTGTTTACCGGGAGGGTTGGTCCCGTTCGAGGGCTATAATAGGGCTTGCCGTGACTTCAACCCTCGACTTTTCGACAGAAGCGAGTGAGAGTGGCTTGACCATCTCTTCTTAAACAGCCGTTTTCTTTCGAATTCATGTTAACTGTAAGTAGATACCAAGAATTTTTATAAACAAGTGTTAAATATATCAAAGAAAATGTAATTAGTATTTGTATATTAAATAAGAGGATATTTGAGAAATAGAAATTTGTTTGTTTGTTATAAAGCACGTACAAGAGGGTTGTTGTGTGGTTCAATTAATTATTAATTATAGATATGAAAATTATTCAAATTTTGTTTATTTTAATGTACCTATATGTGAAATTTGTTTTATTCATGAAACAATTAGTTATTACATGACATAATTATATTAATCAATTAATTATACAATATATATAAAAATATTGTTCTCATTTTTTGTTTAGAAATTTATGTGTAATAACAGCAAGCGTCGCGTTACTGTTAACAATTTTATAAACGTACAGAAATGTTAGAGAAAATAAAGAAAAAAAGAAACAGAGAAAAGAATTTTTGTTCATCGAATCACATGGGAAGGCACGCGACATGATCGATCGATGATGATAGCACGCTTATGATATTTATCTTTTATCTTTTTTTTTTTCTTTCTTTTTTTTTACAAACATCCATCGATCCGATTCAATTGTGAATTTTTTTCCCCGTATAGTCTTCTCCACCATTCTTACCTATTTCAATTTCCAAAAACATGGAATTTTGATGTATAACCAGTAACAAAAAATTCGCTCACGCAAATTGTCTATATTCAGGATTTTTCGTTCATAAAGATCGATCGATCATTTCTTACTGACAGATTCGACAAGATTTTTAATGCTAGGATATTCTTTAGTTTCTATCTCTTTTCTTTTTTTTTTTTCCTCTGTTGCGTTCAGTCAATTTTCTTTCGTTTGTGAGCACTTTTTTTTTAGAAGAAAAAAAAAGAAAAGGAGAACAAAAAAAATTCGAGAACCGATTTACGCATTAGACGTTTATACTTGAACGTTAAACCAAGTATATATTATATTTATTAGGGGGGAGGGAGTTGACATTTTAAAAATTAATTTCTACTGGAATCGTACGATTGAAAATTTTCTCTATCAAAATTCAAACGTATAAACTATAATAGAAAAAAGAAAAAAAACGAAAAAACGTTAAAAACGTGATGGATGTGTAATGCATTTGCGTAAACGTAAAAATGCGTAACGTGTTTGTTTGGTTGCATAGAAAAACCGCAATATTCTGGATCTATACAAATCACTATCTTTCTTTTCCTCTTCCTTTTCTTTATTTTCTTTCTTGATGTAGATACAACTAATATAAGAAGGTAAAATTCGTTGTTGTGACTTTCGAAGAATTAGAGTAAGACGGATCGATGAGATTTTCAATAGAAAAGCGACAGGAAGATTTTACAGTCGAGAATTCGATCCATCAAATTTAAGGGTGGTAGATCAGTGTCCACGATTCGCAACTTAAAAAGGAGGAAGAAAAGAAGAAGAAGAAAAAAAGAGAAGAATTTTGTTGTTCAAATAGGCGAACATTTAAATTTTTCATTTCAAAGATATATACATACATTACTTTTAATTCTTTGACACGGGTTAACACGAGAACATTCGATTCGATCGTTTTTTGATATCTCATGTGAGATTTCTCTCTTTTTTTTTTTTTTTTTTTAAATAAAACAAATCAAAGTTCGGAGAGAGATTAATATTAAATATAAAAAATTGTTATATTATTTAAAAAAAAAGGATCTTATATCAATTCGTTCAATTATTTCTTATCTATTATTTGGATAAGAAAAAAAATAAAATATAAAAATACGAACAAATAGTTGAAATCAATTTAAAACACGTAATTATATTAATATAAATTATTTTATAATTCAAATATGGTAAATCAGAATAGCCAAGTTACACAATTGACTATCGTAAAAACAACAAGAGAAATTTTGATTAAAATATAAAATACAAAATTATATGATTATAGAGAGAGAAATTGTACGGTAAGTTTGATGAACAAAATATTGAATTAATTTTGAATCGTTTGTTAATCAAAGATTTATACGAGATAAAAGATTTGATTTGTCATTACGAAATTTTTCCATGCTTTATCGTTAAAAAATATAATAAATTAGATCATATAGATGTTAGAGATAAAATATTTGTCTTTATATTATATTTACCATACATGTCCACGAGTTTAGGTTTTTATCCAAAGAAAAAAGATTCCAAAGGAAACGTCAAGAACTAACCAAATCGGGAAGATCTTATTTGGTATTACGAAAGTCTTTAACAGGTTTGATTTTTCACGGATGTAGGAAAATTCTGTTGTATTATTAAATAGCATGTGACGTGATCCGGACTGTGGATAAAAATAAAAAAAAGGACGTCGTGACGAATATCACAAAAGACACTGGGATATCAATGGTAGCGAGTTGGTTTTTGTATGGTTGTTCAGTCGTACGTCGTTTGACAGAAGGGTGTTTTTCTTTTGGTTACAGAGAAAAAGAGCAAGATAGAGAAAGAAAAGAAAGGAATGGGAAGGGAAGGGAAGGGAAGGGAAGGGGGAGGTCAAACGGGGACGGCTCGTTTCTGGAGGGTAGTTTCGCTTGGAGTGTTACAATAAATCAAGGAAGCGCTTTGCAGGGCTCCACCCTCGCAGCTTTTCTACAATATATTCCATACAAGATGCGATAACATAACACACACACATACAGAGACACACGAGAAAACGGTATACTGTCCCTTATTTTCATTGTTGTCTAAAGTGGTCTCTCTCGCGAGTGTTCACATCGATGTGTCTATGACATCTATAAACGATTGTTTCTTTTATTTTTTCTTTTTCTATTAATATTATTATTATGTTAAGTATATATATATATATTATATATTAAACAATACATTCAAATCAATGAATAAAAAGATAATTTTGACGTTAACATTTTATGTATAAAATATATAATCCATATTGGAAACAATTATCTTTGACAACGTGTTACAAATAAAACAATTTATATTCAATATCTATGATATATGTTAATGGTTTGAAAAAAGAAATAAAAACAAGAGAGAACGCATTTTGTAAAAGAAAATTTATAATTATAATAAAGGGCACGTTTCTGGAGAACGGAGTGGTGGGCGGCATGTATGGGGGTTGCAACGCCTCGGTCGTACCCCCTTATTTCAATTCCAAACTCCCCTCTTTTTTCTTCCCCCCCATAGCATACAGTTGACTAATTCACGACAAAAGGTTCGAGCTTTGTAAACCGTGCCTTCGGCAGGCCCTCCAAAAGCCCACCACTCGGTTCTTCTTCAAACCCCGTGTCCATCTCTTTCTCTCTACCAATCAACTTTCTTTTTTTCCACCCTTCTCCAATGCACTCCGTTCAAGGGTACGACCCAATCCCGAACAAGAGGGTGGGAACATTTGATGGTATATAATCTTTTTCAACGGGTAACATTCGAACAGTTACCAACTGGCTATTGAACCCAAAGGAGAACGAACTGAACGGATAAGATTAAACCTATTTAGGGAACCCCATCGTTTAATTGTACATGTTAAACATGTTTTCCTAAGTTTTTCTTTTTTACATCGAGTTATAAAAAAAGATATAATTATTCAACGAATCAAGATTTTAACAATTATAATACATATAGGAGCTAAATATTTCATTGGAATTATATAAAAATAATATGTAAGAGAAATAAACACCATAACGAAAGAGAAAATAAAATAAAAAAAAAAAAAAGAACAAAATTGGACAAGTTAAATAAAAATAATCATTGAAATATATATACGAGTTCCCACGAGGAAAAAGAAGAAAATTATTTCAATGGGTAAACGCGCGCGCGCGCGCGTTGAGATATAAGTGCAGTTACTTTCTAATATTTTTGTTTGTTTGATCACGAAATCAATTAAAACAATCTTTATAAATGTTTATTGTGAATATATATTCATTACGAATTTGGATTGGACAATATGGCTGAGAAATTGTTCCGTCCTTGGGTGAACATGACTAAGGAGAAAAAAAAGTGTAAACGTAATTTACGAGAAGATGATGGTAAACGTACAACGTTGGTAGTAGCCGCGAATGAGAATAATATACAATTAAATTCGTGCGAGAAAAATGGCGAAGGGATTGTGGGTAAAAAATGCAGAATGGAAAAAAATGTCACGGAAGAAATAAATTCGAATGGACAGAAAAGAAACTTCGTTTACAATTCCAATGGATCGTTATCCGAAGACAGTGATCAACGTTTTTCTACGAATCAATTTCCAACTTCCTCCAGCACGGTGAATTTACCTGCAAATTACAATCCTGCAAGTTTCATATCTTACTTGCATTATCTTACGACAGGGTTGTATCATCCATCGGAAATGTTTCCTCTGTTAGACGGGAAGGATGATCCATATCGTTCATCAAACTTTTTAAATACATTTCCCAATACTTGTCGTATGCAGGACGTACCACCATTCCCTCAATTATCTTCGATTAATCATTACGACACTCTACCAACGTATACCGCGTCCGTTGAAAAGGCTGCTGAATTGGTTAACTTGCAAGATGTTGCAGCTAAGCAAATCAAAAAATTACGACCGAAAAAATTTCGCTGCGAATATTGCGACGTGGCTTTCAGTAATAACGGACAATTGAAAGGACACGTTAGAATACATACAGGTATACATTTAATCTTAATAATGATTATAACGTGATTAATGTATAAGCAAACATATATATATATGTGTGTATTATGGTATAAAGTATCTAACGATGTTGATCAAGGATTTATTTAATTTTCATTTAAAATTTCATTTTTAGATTTATTAATGTCAATTTTAACGTTGCAATATTTTTCTTGATAAATAAATAAGTAATTATAATGAATTCGAATTAAAAAATGTATATAGATGATGTATGTGATGTTTCTTTGTGAAAGGTGAAAGACCGTATAAATGTGACTCGGATGGATGCGGCAAAAGTTTTACGAGGAATGAGGAATTAACGCGACACAAACGGATTCATACAGGATTGAGGCCACATTCATGTTCAGCATGTGGGAAAAAATTTGGAAGGAAAGATCATTTGAAGAAACACACGAGGACACACGAAAATCGTGATTTATTGTATCACGTTTCTACTCCTTTGAGTGTTTTTTCGTTAGGAATGTTTCCGTCACTTGCATAAGAAAACAAAACAAACAAAATCTTAACTCGTGGTCAAAAACAAATGAAGAAACTTTGGTTAAAAAGAAATTTCGTTACGTATGGTATGACATTACTTTCAATAATGAGATGCCATTAGAATATACATGCAGGTAAATTAATTTAAAACAAAAAAGTGCATACGATTCTCGATCATTTTATCTATCCAATGATCATAGATCCTAATTAATGTTTAGAAAAAAGGATCTTTCGAATAAGTACACGATGACCCCATGAAAAACGCGATTTATGTCACACACATTTTTGCGTCCGCCATTAGTGTCTTTCTCTGGACAAATATGGAGTCCGCCATTTTTGTATATCGGTATTTGAATCGGTGTATTTTCGGTGAATTTTACAATTATTAAATATATATATATATATTTTAGATTAGATATATTAGGTGAGGGTAAAAAAAAAATATGTATAACCTAAAAAATAGTTTATACATAGCACTGTTGTTACTAAACATACATTTGATATCTAAATTTATCTACATTTTGATACCAAAGTTTTTCTAGAATTGATTCAAAATGGATAACTTTTTTTCAAGTACCTTGTAAGAATCGAATACTATTAAATCTACTGAATAGTGTTTTGTCCGTTTTTTGTGTGTATGAAAAGAAAATAATATATTTTTTAATAGAATGAATTTCATTTAATATTAAAACAATGAAAAACTGTTGTTTCAGTAAATTTAGAAAAAGTACACATGTAGAGAAATACATTGGTAAAAGGAAGCAACCATTACGGATAGACCAAAAAGAAATAGATAAAATTATCGGACCAATTTTCTGGTAGATGTAATATTAATGAACACCAGTATCGAACATAAATAACCGTGTTCTACGTGATATATTTGTATATAATAAAAGAAACTTTTCTTTTTTATATATATATAGTACTATAAAATACTACATAAAAAACTTGTTGATCTTTGAAAAATATATAGATATGTACATCTTGTATATATCTTCTTACGTTATATTAACGCGTTAAGGCCAATTAACTAATAATATATATACATATATATATATATTTATAAAAATGTTGATTATTATTAATTAAAAATAATAAATATAGCTACATATATTTTTAAACATACAAATGATCTATTGATTTTTTTCTTTCTTTCGCTTAAACAAACTCTCATATATGGTTTTAATAATATAGAAATATATAAATTAATATATTTAATTCATTAATGAGTTAATAAAACATGGATGAAAAATATATTCGATGAAAGTATTATATAGCCACCATTTTCTATTAGGTCGTATCAAATATGGCGTAGAAAATAAAGCAACTCGGTTGAAGTGGCAAGCATCCCCCTACTTCGTAGAAGTAACCATCGAGGGCGAGGGTATATAAAAAGGGGAGGAGAGGCCGGTAGGGATGGTGGTTGCGCCCTTTTGCACTCATGAACGATCGTTTTACCACAAGCAAGCCTATCCCATGCCTTTCTCATCGGTTTTTTTCTTCATTACAATACGTTTTTATAGGGTGACTCGTGGTTGGGTATACGAGTGTTATGGATAGGAGTAAGAAGGGATGGTAAAGTACGAAGGGTGTAAATCTGCGATCGTCAAAAGGGATAAAAAAAAAAGAAGAAAAAAAGAAACCGAGGAGCAATTAATTTCTCTGCTCAAGTTGAAATTGAATCCCCTATTTTTAGTTGATAGATCAGTAGATACGTATTGCGTGTTTTCTCTCATGGGGTGAGGGGGGGGGAGAAGGGGGTTAAGAAATTCAATTTATAAAGAATATTCGTGATAAAATTCTAGAAAAGTGTGTATTTTAATTAATCGATGGTATTTTGTTGAATATATTATGATTAACGTATTACGTGAACGGGTTTGCAAAGTTTTAAGATTCAAAAAAGAAAAGAAATATTAATATTTAATTGTAAGTTCTCTGAAAAATGTTCGAACCCATCCATGTGCATTGGATAACTTTGTTCGATAGAAATAATTTAGTTGGAGTATCGAATCGTAGCTTATCGTTAAAATATTTTTTTTATATCTGTTTATGCTATTACACAAGCTGATATTATTATATTAAAATACTTATTACAAATGTTCACACAAAACTTATATAATATATATATATATATATATATATATATATATATATATATATGAGAATATATCATGTACATTAGCCTAATAACGCGATGGTTTATTGATTAAAAATAATAAATACACGTTAGATTGAAGAAAAAAAAAAAAAAAAGAAAGAAAGAAAGCAAGAAAAAATAAGAATAACCAGATGCCAATCGGTTGGCGTGTGCTGCCTTTAAGAAAAAAAATCCAAGAGTCGCGTGGTGCTGCATTAGAAACTAAACGCGTTAGATTCTCACACTTGGTAGGTTACAAGGACAGTAGCCAAAAGTTAGGAGCACCGTAGATATAGAATGGCATCCCTGCTGGGACATTCGTTCAAGCTCGTTGACACCCCCCTACCGATCTGCAGAAATATGACAGCTCACCCTCCTGACTTTCTTACTTCGTCTCTCTCTTGCATTAGGGTAGAGAGAGAGAAAGAGAGAGAGAAACCTTTCCCTTTTCTCACTCTATCTTTCTTTGTCGGTTACTGCCTCTTTATGTATTAATACCTTTCTCTCTCTCTCTCTCTCTCTCTTTCTTTATTTCATTCCCCATCCTTTTCCAGTCTACATTGATCCATCTGTTCATCTCTACTTTGTAGGGTAAGTTCAAGCTTATCCACTAAAGCTAAACGATCGCTTAAATATACCAAGATTACACGGATCCACTTTATATGGGGGGAAGAGGGGGGGTAATTTCGAAAGTTTCTAATTTTTGACAATTTTGTTTTCTTTTTTTTTCTATTTGCATACACTTCTCGTTAAAAAGAAAAAAAAACTAGCCCAGGTATGCAATTTTTCTTGTATTATATTTTGTTTTATTTCTTACAATGACACATGTACAATTTTATCCTTGGCCATGAATAATATTAAAACATCGTGATCACGTAATACGCGATTTGTTGGAAATAAATGACAATTTATTTAATACGGTTTGTTTAATACGAATCTGATATGTCAGGTTTCGAGATGAAACGTTCATTTCGGTAAGTTACTCGGGGGAACCGAATTTTAAACGAACGAATGGGAAACAGACAGCTGTACTTCATGGTTGTGTTTAGATATTTAGAGAAATATTTCAATCAAAATTCTTTCTAACGTTAGAGATTATTATCTATAATCTAATTGAAGAAGGATATTTTAATTTACAAAATGAATAAACGGAGTTTAACGTTGTTAATGATAATGTAAATCGTGTCGAAGCAAATAGAAGAACAATTTTCTTGATATATTTTGCACACACAATTTCTTTTCGAATCTCATCGGTGATGAGTGTGTTACTTTCAGGTGTGTGACATCCGTAGTGAGTTGAATTTCCGATTTTATGAGTCTTTCTCTCTCTCTCTCTCTCTCTTTTTCTTCCTTTTATACGAGGAATATCCTGGTGTGCACTCCAGGGCGTTTGACATGTTACTTTTGAAAGAAGGGAAAATAAATAGGAAGAAGAAGAAGAAGAAAAAGAATAAGATAGATACGTTCATTCGCGAGAAGTTGAATTTCACGAGAGGAGGAAGAAGTTTGCTTGCTTGCTTGCTTGCTTCCACTATTAGAATGCTAAACGATTTTTAAACTTGGCAAGAAAAGGACAGCGTGAAAACGTCGTTTACCAATCGAATAATATGTCATGAAAGCGCAACACAATAAGTTAGGGAAACATTTCGATATACAGGGCCACCCGTTGTGGGGGTGCCTGCTATTGCATCGTAGGGTGCAATCCTGCATTCTTAGATTCAACAACGATTTTGCGATCAATCGTTTAGGATCTAAATTCTTAATATCTTCAAAGTTTAGAATCCACATCCAACGGATAGAAACGAGTATATAAGGCGACGAAATATCGTTAAAAGGAAACTTTTTCTACTTTTATTTTCTTTTATTACTAAGGAAGTAGGTAGTTAAGTGTTTGTGTGCTAGGCAATTCAGTAGCATTCGATTCAACAACGACTCTATCCTAAGATTCGATCTAAATTCCTAATATTTTGATGTTTAGATTCTTGCAACGACAATAATATATAATATAAAGAAGGCGTGGATTTTATTTATTATTTTTAGGGGTTACTAGGACAGGTAGTATGATATCGTTTTACGAGATACAAATGTTTGTCTGTTTTGCAATAGTTATTTATAACATTATTGTCCTAATGGAAAATTAATGCACTTCTATTTATATTTTTTCTTTTTTTTTTTTTTTGTTAAGTATTTTCTGTAGTAATTTGTAAAAAGTAAATGGTCAGTATAATATGAATATTTTGTACAGTGTAATTAATCATTTGTTGGTATTATAAATAGATTGTATCAGAGCTATCTATGAATTTGCTAAAAATATTATTTACATCTAAGAATTTACTTGCCATTGTGTACAAATATTGCGTAACGATTGTATAAATAATTCTTTTTTTTTTTTTTTCTTTTTTCTCCAGTAATTTGTCAAGACAAATCAATTATATTTACTTACGATTGGGTTTTTTTTTCCATGAAATCGTAAAGTCGACGTGCATATGAGGTAACAACAATGCAAATGATTAATTCGAATCGATTATAAATTCTTAGTATTTTGTTTTAATATCTTATATGAATTAATTTCTTATTCGAGAATAGAGAGATGCATTTGTTTATCGTTTTCGTCGATAGGAAGAATTAATTGAATAGATGAGATTTTGAAATTTAATCAAGATTTTTGTTGTTTGTTGTAATTATTATTCGGATACAATTGATTAGATTAAATATAGAGATTGCAGTTTAAATGATTAATTTAAAGTGAAAATTTTTTTAAGAAGAGTTTCATTATATAA